CAAAACCGAAAGCGACCGGCCAATGCAAAACCGAAAGCGACCGGCCAGTGCAAAACCGAAAGCGACCGGCCAGTGCAAAACCGAAAGTGACTCGATACTCTGGAGAAAAAAAAAACGCAACTAGACAATGCTAAACAGAAAGTCAATGGACAATGCGAAACAGAAAGTGATTAGCAAGTGAAAAAGATAAAGTGACTGCACAATTGGGCACCTTCTTGCTTACGCTATCCCCAGTATGTCCCAGGGGTATGGCAATGGTTAGCTACTGTACAGGGGGTGTCACACCATGACACAGAGGTGTCATTCCAGCCAAAGCATGGTGATCCAGTCCAGCACAGCACAGCACAGCATAGCACAGCAGTAAAGCACAGTCTGGCGGGAAGCAGGAAACGCAGCAATCACATATGTGCGAGGGACAGAGGCGCTTCAGCGAGGTGGATCTGTTCACATATTTACATCGCCCCTGGCAGACTGTACATTTTATGAAGGATGAAAGAGATCCCCCCCCACCCCACCGTACTCTTGTACAATTCCAGATTCTGTGGGGCAAATTCCCAAATTCCCTGGAAGCTCCCGTGGAAAAGAATTAAGTTGTAAAATGATGTCATCACGATGAAAGGCAGCCTGTCGGGCAGCTGGCCAGCATGAGCTGGCCGATGGCCGCCCCTACGCCACGTAAAAATATGGTGCGGCAGCCAGAGCCAAGTAGGGACGGGAGGGGGGGCTCTGCTCCGCTCCGAGAGTGGGGCTCGCTCGGCTTTCGTGGTCCACAAACGGGGCCAGCCGTCATGTTGTATTCGTGAACAGGCACAAGAGCCAGAGTATTTACAAACTGGATGATTAATGTGTGAGCGGCTTAATGAGGACCCCAAACGCTGGCAGACGCTCCTCTGGAACTGCACACGAAGACACAAGAAACAGACGCCAAGGAGACCAGCCGCAGAGGGGTGTTGCGTCTCACCCCAAAGCTCGAATACAGACGTGGCTCCGTACCTTTAAAAGTCTGGGATGATTCCCACGCTGCGGGGTGCGCGATTACCAGGACAGCTGTTTTAGCTATCGCTTAAGAATGGTGCCCCCTGGCAGAAGTTGTGACGCAACCCTTGGCACCCGCAATGCATCATGGGATAGATGCTTCAGCTGCCATTCAAAACACACTGCCTGCCAACAGTTTCACCCAGAGGTCTCTCTTCAGCAAGGCTTAGACAGGCCATGTAGGTTGGATCAGGTTGGGAGCTGGAGGCTCAGAGATACACTTCTGGACCAGAAATTTGGCTCTGGATTATGATCCTCATCCTTGACCTTTGAACTTCACAAACAGCGTTCTATCGAAGGCCCATCACCTCGCTCACTGAGCCTCAGCCTAGAAATCAGCTCTGGTGTCGACTCACCTGGTCTGAGGGAAATGGTTAACGAGGTCCCACAATGTCTGACCACTGGAGAAGGAATCCTGGAGCCGCGAGCCATCCTGCAGCTGCAGGGCAATGCGGATCTGGGACAAGACACAGACACCATACATTAATCACTGGATTAGGATTCCAGATGGGTGCTGTCATGCTGCAGTAACACTGCACAAGTAAACAAAATCTCTCTGAGGAAAAGCCAAATCTACCTAACAAGCCCTGAAACACCACAGATCTGAAAAGGGGAAAAAGAAATGATCCAGAAGCAAACAGCACAAACTTATGGACATGGTTAGACCCCCCCTTTTTTACTTCCAAAGTCAAGTGCTCATTAAACAGAGCAACAAGTGGAAAAGGAGAGGAAGGACAATAAGCGAGAGAGTCTTCAGGCCCCTGCAAAAGAATGGCTTTGGAAGGGGATGCACCCTTCCAATGGGAAAAGGGGGAGGGGCTTCTGAACATTCAGTCATTGAGTCACCGAAGAGTATGACCGCCAACCCTACACATCCCCCCAACCCTACACATCCCCCCACAGAAGCCCAAAACACACAAGTGTCCTGAGCACAGGCTGCCTCCAGGGACCTGCTAGGCCTAAACCAGTGCTTCCCATCCCAATCCTCGGGGGTTCCCATGCTGTCCACATCCTTCTTCTCCCCCAGCCCCCAACACACCAGGTATTCAGAGTTCTTGATTGGGGGGGAGGGAGGAAAAATGTGGACTCTCTGGGGGTACCTGAGGACTGGGTTGGGAAACACAGGGCAAACTCAGCCACGACCACACAGAGTCACCGAGGTGCATGTGACCTGACAGCCTCGCATCGCCATCTTCGGGACTCCAGGGCCACTTCCTGAAAGTGGCAGCATCCCAATACTTGCTAACAGCAGTCCGACACGTCAGGCATGCAAGTTTACACATCCCTGTTTCACAGCCGGGGGCCGCCCTCCCCACTGGAGCACATTAAAAACTCAACCTTGTAAATATAGAAAGAAATGTAATAAAAAACAGAACCACTACAGTGACAACTTCATACAAGCAGTGAACACAAACGCCGAACTGCAACCTTAGCCTCCATCTGCCAGAAAGTGCAAGAATGCTTCTGTCCTGCCTTGAAGTAATTAGTCCCTGAAAAACTAGGCATCATCTGCTACCAATATCAGGGCCCGTTGGGCAGAGGCGGAGCCTGCAGCACAGATGGATACAGCCTGCCACACCGTCCCGGAGTCTTCGTGTGGCACCTCCTGACACAAGCCAGGCATCTGCCTTGTTTACTGATGCTCACCGAGGCCTGAACAGAGCAGGGGACATGCAGGCCAGGACCTGAGGGCTGGCCCCACACATATTAAGGCGCACGCATGCCATGTTTTAACTATGATAATTACGGCACAGAAATAGCCAGTACGGGACTGAATAGGGGAATGCAGATTGGAGAACTTCACAGGTGAAAGAAAGTGTGTCGGGGGGGGGGGGGGGCGCGATGTTCAAAGGCAAAGAAAATATCTTGGAACGTGGTTCGAAACGCAGAACTGATTACTTTTATAGCCCACGTTGGAGCAGTAAAATGGAAGCACACGTCGGCTCCCCCCACCGTCACTGTGAGGTAATCTGCGCCGTCGCTGGGCAACTGTGAGTGATCACTCACACAGGACTACTAAACGCACAATAAACCGCGGTGATCTGCATCAAAGGGAAATCGCCTCGCCCTACATCTGATTTATTCCCTTCATTAGTTTTAACAAGTTGTTTACACTTGAAGAGAACTGTTGTCGGGAAGAGACACGCAGCTGACGAATGCGGCAGTGAAAAGCGCACTCACTCAGCACCTGAAGCTCACACAGAAACACGTTTCTAGTGCCCACAGGTTGGAAAAAAAAGGCCAGCTGCTTCCATGACTGCCTACACTTCAATTTAACTGATGCCGCTAGGTCGACCACATATGATACAACGAATGCCAGGGTATGTTATCAATCCACAAGGACTGCAGAGTGAGGATGGAATAAAGCCGTACTGTGCTCTCCCGCTGGCCTGTTCTTTGGCGGGTGCTTGGCACCATCTCCAGCTTGGCATTGTTGGGCAGACTGGCGAACCTCCATTGCAGGGACAGGTCTACAATGTTCCTCTGGAACCTGCAGAGACCAGGGAAGACAGCCAGGCATTTCAGGAATGATCACTACAGTAACGAACATCCAAAGTTTCAGTGACATGCCAGTTCCACGAATCATACAAAGAAACTTTGTGTCATTTTAAACTAAAGGACAATGAGATACATTTCATAAACATCTAATAAAATTCACTGACGTTTTTATAGTGATAACTAACGAGTACGTGCTACGAGTAGAGCACTGTCCGTACCGCCTTTCCCGACAAACACGGTAAATACGGCGTAAAGATGCAAAACAGTACATCTTTTACAGTTCATCTCCAAAGACGATGGTTATATGTATCATATATAACTGATATGACACCATATAACATCCGTCATAAGGTCGCGTCTACTGCGGTTTCTGCTTCTTCGCCTCCAATTCCTACATTAAACTGAATATTAACAGCATAATTACTAAAAACGATTTATTTTAGAGATTCGTTGCATTCGTTGATATTTGAAAATACTTCAAATATGAAATATAAAGTTACGTCATGTACGGCTATGAAAGCGATCAATTTAGCTTGCCAGCTAGCAACTCACTTGAGCTCATACTCGTCTGGATTAAATCCATGCTTCTTGCAAACGTCTTCCAGAACCTATAACAGGAGCAATATTATTATAGACAAACACAACCGTATAACTACGACTTATATCTACTAATCACTTATAATGCAGAAATATCAGATTAAATTTAGAGGCAGCTCTAGCAAAACTGAACTGTCATTGTTTGGAAGAAAGCCTAGAGCAAGAAGGAAAAAAACGTCCGTTTGTGCCGAAACAGCGGCCATTTCTCCTGCTTTCAAGCCGAGTCGCTCCTTAACCTCCGATTAACATTCACCTGGAGCAGAGGCGTACTGGACGAGACTTTCACCGTTTGCCTCCGTCCGTTAGGTGTGAGCACCGTTACTGCAGTGCTGCCGGCGGCCATTGCCCTGTGACGTCACCGTGTTTGTTTGAAAAAAGCTTTATTGATAGCGCGAGAAATGTGCGCGACGAACGCGAGACAAATGCGCCACACACGCGCGCTGGGCTCCTCTCGCGTGCAGAGTCACGTGCGGCGCTAAAAAGCCCGGCAACCGCGCAGCAAAAAGTTCATAGTCTCGCATCGCACTGATTTATGGTAATAAGTCAGGCGGTTAGCTACTAGGCTTATAGTAATAAATCAACAATAATTCATGATATAGTAATATCATCATCGACAGCATTTTGTCACCGCTTATCTTGGTGAGGGTCGCGGTGGCTGCTGTTCCTGTGCATAGAGTAGCACCCCGAATAATGCACGTAACTCACAGTCGGTCGCTTCAGATCCCAAATTCGGGGCAATCTTTTTTTGTTCTTTTAAGGATGCTCTTTTTTCTTTGAAATATTTCTATTTTTTGTACTTGGTTTTAAGCAACATACGAAAGTTGCTCTGATTTGGTTTAAATAATCATTAGGTTATTATGCAGAACTATTGTTATGTCGACCGTATCAAGGAGCCGTCGCAGTGGGAAACGCGGTATCGTGCCTAATCCTATCCTTACAGAAGATATGAGTTTGAACTAATGATTCGGTGCTTTGGTTTAATTGCTATTAAAAATAATATTATAACCTGTTCAGCTAGTGTCCCCGGATTCTTGTTCACACAGTATTAAACAGTCCTTCACTGAAATAAACAACCGTCGTTGTCGGACGTGGATCCCGAAGAGTTTACAAATGAAAGGAAGCAAGAAGCAGGTAGATTATTCGGAGTCCGCAGAGCGGGCTTAAATCGGGTCTGAGACTGCAGTGAGGCACCAGTGCTACCAGTTATACCCTCACATGACATATATATTATTATCGTAATTTAAAGAGTGACTTTTTAAGGAGAAGAAATTAGCAACAATATGAAATCGTGATCTAACGTATAATAAACATACATATACTTTATATTGAAAGCATGTATTACGCAGCAATGCGCTGTCATTTTGAAGTTGTTTCAGTTTCCTAGCGTATAATTTAGTCCAGTCTGTAGCTTGTCCCATTGGGAAAGCTGAAGTTAAATACCACTTTCTTCGTGTCATTGCAGCAAATAAACAAGTCGAGCCTAAGTTGGCACTGCGGACTCGGCCATTTCTCCAGGAGGCAAGGAGTGGTGTCACTTTAAAAAGGATATCAAAGGGGCGAACCCCCGCGAAATGCGGGTTTTATAGTTGGCGCGCAACCCCCCCCCCCCCCGCTTTGTTCTTCCTAGGAGGACCTACACCTGTTTCTGATGACGGGACTCCCAGCCTGTCCCTTTCGTGAAAACCGATCCTTCCTGATCCCTTTGATGTAACCCGATCACAAAGTCGAAAGTAACGGGATCTTTGGATCGCGGACGCCCTTTCAACAGTATCCGCTAATCGAACAGGAAAGGGGGGGTGACAACCGTGGTCAGGGCGTAGGCACGGAGAGGCGGACAACATAAACACCGAAAACTTTCACGATAGATAAGCGATGAACCCGTTTTAGGTTGTTATAACAACTCGGTTCTAAATCCTTCATTTGCTTAGAATTTACAAATCAATTCAGTTTCCTTTATACAGAGCAGTTCACGGCAACTTAAATGTCCCGTTGAACATATTTCTGTTCCCTGAAGCTGCCGGCTTTTCATCACGATCTCATTTCCTAAATACTGGAATTAAACCGTTACAAATATAGGAATGGACTGCAAACACAACATGGCTGAAAACAGAGCAAGGCCAGACTGAATGTCTGCAGTGCGCTAGCATGTGCTCTAACATAATCCTCAGACACTATCACGTCAGTGTTAAACAGTTTCATCGATATCTGCCGCTTTACTAGGATAATAGAATATAACAGAATAGAATGCTTTTTATTGTCATTGCAATAATATCTACAATAGAATTTTGTGTCCCCTGAATGATGCATACAGCACAATAAAGACAGATTCAATTAAGACATACAATTGCTCTGCATATTGAGCTACACACACATAGCAAAATAAAAACACAGACATTAATATAAACCGATAAAACATATATATATTTATTTTTTTCAAGGTGGAAGTATATAAGTAGTAAATAGATAAATTATGATAAATGCAATGAGTCCCAGGATATTGCACTTTTGCCCTATCACCGCCAAGGGTAACGGGCAGGGGCGGATTAAGGTGCACAGAGGCCCCTAGGCTACAGTAGTCTGTGGGCCCCCCAACCCCGCCCCCCTCCGCGCCAATGGGGCCCCCCTTGCAGGCTGGCACACGTGGGGCCCCTAGGCTTAAGCCATATCTAGCCTGTGCGTTAATCCGCCCCTGGTAACGGGTATAGAAAACAAAGGCTGGCTGGATGAGTGGATTGTCAAATTGGTCCCTTCATGTTCAGCCTCATATTTCATTAACTTACCCGCGATTTCATTGAGACTGAATTAGTAGAGTGCAACTGACATTCACCCCACAATTCATCCCCAGTCCGTTTGTTTTTCATGCCACTCTCAGTAAGGAGCAACTGGAAAGTTTTTGAAAAAATGACATTGCTACCAGAGTTGCCAGTAGTAGGCTACGAGTAGAGCGATTTTAAATCTGATACTTGCTGATGTGGTTAAGCTGAACCTACCTCCCTAGCAGAAGTGACCAATGGCTATCCCTCGGCTGAGTTCATTTACACCATCTGGCTTTTATGGAAGACGTTCATCTGAATTGTAGGTCTCAGGGGTTCAAGCGAGCAAATCCCACTATTATAAAGTGCAGGTTCTGAAGTCATATGTACAGAACATACTATGGCCTGAGTGTCTTGACTTTCCTGTCGCATGGGCAAATCCCCCTTTCCTGCAGGATCTGCAGTCACAGTGTTGAGACCCAGACCCTGGCGCCCATCTGTGTGTGATTTAAAGGCTGCACTTTTGGGAATGAATTGTGATCAATAAAGCCAGTATAAGTCAAATAGGCTTGGGAGAATCAGTGACAGACACGTTCCTTCAGGGGCCACCACATGTCCGAATGTGTACAGGCATCTGTTTGAAGTTCCTCAATGAATACCATCAGTCCTGAGGGTTTGACTTTATATCAGAGTTACCTTGATACCGACACATCACCCCATCGCTTCAGTGTGGGCCTGGAATTCCGTCTCCTGGAGAACTCCCTAAAAACTCAAAAAAGCTTCACTGAAGTTTGTTTTGTGTGTTTTTAGGGTTCATTTTACACTCTGTGTCGCTTCATGATAAATTTTAAGTACAATTTTCAATCAACAAGGCCAACCTTTCTAAAGATGTCGTAAAGATCTCTTAAAATATACCTGCTCCTTGAAAAGTGATGTCTGTAATACAATGTGATTCCTTTGGCTGATCATGTGACGGTTACGGAAGTTCACATGCACATTAAATGTAATATGACACCCAAACACATAACAAGCAAAAAATACAGATATAAATTAGGCTAGTTACCACAATTAATGTGTACAGATCCAAGCAGTAAGTATAAAAATTAATATAGCAGCAGTACTAAAAAAAATAAATGTAGACCTATATGAAAGGTAACACGATAAATGTATCACTTTGTGACATGTATACTATGATGTGTACTATATTACCACGTCATAGCTTGTCTAATGTAGGCCTACAAGGCAAGAACTTTGACAGAAATGTCTGACGCACAAATAATCTGGGTCAATGAGCTCCTGTTATATTGATTGTTACTACTTATTATGCCATAGTGAACGCCCACTGTTCACAATTAAGACCATTAGAAAACATTTAAAAGCCTCAGTACAGTAACCTACAATACTTTCAAGAACCAAGCAACTATATTTAAATATAATAAGGAAATCAGCGAGTGCTTAGTGACTATGACAATGACTATGTTGCTAACAGACGGCAAATTACATATTTACCGGCTATTTCGTATGAATTTTACAGACTTGTGTTTTAAATGACCGCCGATACACGCAACATGTGACCATAGGCGCAGTATTTAACTTGCTACCAAGAGATTGGATTGATGGAATGGTGTGATGGGCACTGATGGCCAGGGGTCCTCTGGAGGTCATCACGGAGGCTGTCCTCTTGTGTTCTGGTTTTGCATTTGAACAAAAGAGTTCTCGTGGCCGTCCCCAAACGGTCCCTGAGTTAGGAAAGTGAGGCGTCCCATTAGCGTTATCCACAGACAGCTTTCATCTCGCCGCTGGGCTGCTGAGAAACTCCCGCACGGGCATCCAACGAAGTCCATAAACCACTAATGTATTTATACTTTTATTGCGCGGAACGACTAATTAAGGCATCGCAGTCTTCCACCGGGGTGAACATAACAAACCAGTAGCAATTATCACTAATGGAAGAAGCAGTCTTCGGCTGAAGGAACGTAAACGCCTTTCTGTGGGTTATTTCAACATAAACATTCAGGCAACATTTTTTTCCATGTTCTGCCATGTGGGGAAAGGTCTTTATCAAATGCTGGCCTCTGTAAAATAGTTTGGGGAACCGTACTTGTATTGGCATTAGGAATATGTTGGTTTCATTGACGAAAGTAACCAAACATCTTTACGGTGTTTTCAACCTGGCCTTTCTCTGCCATATCTAACGACATAGAAGTTAACTTTACGAGTTTTATTAACAGTGTCTTAATATTTTCAGATATTAAACTATTGAAAAAATGCAAATGTGATCGGAACAAACATAACTATAAAAAACTTTTTCCGAAAACAATTATTTAGTGCATTCCCAGTACACAGTGCTGAGAAGTTTAAGCGGTTAGTGATGGATATTTCTAAGGCAAAACAAAAACAAATGATTAAAAGAAAGTTAATTACACCTTATTTATTTTGGATGTTTTACTTCAGTGTTTTAAGCGACTATGAAACATTTGCATTTCACCCACACCCTGAAGGCAAAGCAGCGGACGTGATTTATTCAGAGTTCCCGCAGCATAATGGTCATCATTAACCGCTAAATGCAGTACAATCGAGAGCAATCACGTCTGCATGGTAATGTCAAGCAGGCAAGTGTAAGTGCTGGTGGCGTGAACAGTAGCCCGTTGATTCTGTGTTGTCAGAGTAACGGATGTACCTTTCGCATATGCCACACTTACATTAAAATTCAAAGAGAGCAGTCGGGATTCTTGCATGCACCTCTTAAACCTTCCTCCAAATATCCATACAACTAGACGCGCCTTGGAAAAAAAAATGCGATACTTGGTTTATTATCGAAATGAAATGTATCAGTTCAATCTTCAGCTTTAAAATGTCCAATGGACTCAAAGTAACGAACTTCACTTTAAAATTGCCCTGATCCACATTTAAGCAATGTGCTGTCACAGTTCCACAAAAAGAAAGATGTTTCTTCGAAAAAGGAATACAGTGTAGCAATGAAGCTGGGGGCGGAGGGTTTTGGAAAGAAAGGGAGGGCGAGAAAGAGTGATGGTTCCTTTGATCATTTGGGGGGCCCCATGTAGATAAAAAGTCTCGATTCTCCTTCTCACAGCTTGCTGGGACAACCTGCTCCTGAGCGTCACACAAGGGGTCAGAGTAAAATTTGAAATTGCAGCGGAAAACTAGCAGATACTTCGAGACAAGGTAAAATCACTCCACTGCATTGGCCGCACTGTTTCAAATACTGGATTTAGCTGAGAACCCGTCATATTGTTCGGATCACTTAATATTTCGAGAATATTTGTTGATATTGGTATCATACCTATAGATGCACATTTATCGTGCACTGCAAGCAGACGTATTAAGTTACCCCGTCTCGATAGTTTCTATGTATAGCAAACGTTTAGTCTATCGGTCTGTAACCTACTACACGTACACTTCCACTCAAAAAGGACAACACACTAGAGAAATATAATCGATTTTACAGCAAGTGCCAGAACATCTAAACAAATTGTTAGTCATGAATTTGGCTGTCTTTCATTAGTACGGCCACACCAGACGATAGGAGGTTAAAGTAAAGCAAAGCAGCGCGTATTGTCTTCTTCTTGCCGATCAATTTTGTCGCCATTAAATAATTGAGCGATCTTAAAAGCAAGGCGGAATAGCAACCCCCCCTGACATGTTTAAAGGAGCGGCCGCGCCGCGGGAAGCCGGGGGGGTGTGCTGCCACTCGATTTAAGGCTAAAGCAGAGGCGGTAGATAACCCCGCGTTTAACGCTATTTGCGTGTCAATCACCGTGAGAAGCCGGCTGGCTGATGACCTTAAGCGCAACTTTCTGCGATTTCTCGCTTCCGCTCACCAATACCTATTCATAGCCGGTACCCCGGAGCCTGTATGAAGGTGAATGGCATTTTAGAGGGATAATTGCCGCTGTCCAAATAAACAAAAAGCTTCCTTATCCGCCTTGTCTATCAGCCGGAAAATAAAACTTCAAACGGCCGTCGTAAGCGCTTTTCAGGCGCTGTTTGTTTAACCCTGATTGAACCGCACTAGGGAAATATCTTGGCAGTTTGCTTAAATAATTGATAAATCTCTGTAAGAATTGTGCTATCTTAGTAAAAGTTTCGCTCGGGTTTCTTGATAATAATATATCAATTATGTAGGCTAATAGATTTGTAAATATGTTAAAAATTTTGAGTTTGCTTTAAAAAACACAGAATATCGCGTGATATGCCTTGCACCACGTAACTGCAGTCCTGTTTGTTTTCCCCAGCCGTTGTGGCGAGTCGTTTTACCCAGAACTGAATCCACCTAAATTCATTTGTTCTGGATTACGATCGTTTTCAAGGGAAAATATGACATGTAATAAAATATCAGAGATCAAAAGAGTCAGCGCCCGGGCATCTCCTTAATAAATGCGAGGGGGAGCAAACGCCCCGAGTCCTGCCCACCATGCCGATTGGCTCGGGAAGGAGAGAAGGGCAAAACGGTTTGAATAAAAATCCCAAACGTTTGCTGGGGAGAAATATTAATTCTGAACATAACATCAGGCTAACAACTCAAGACCTAAATTACGAAGAAGCAGAGAACTAGCTGCCGTGATTCAGTCACAACCTCCATCTGTTTATACAAACGTGCAAGTTGATGTATGCGCGTTTTAAACTTTGGATTCAGGAGAAGGGATAGGTCTGTTTGGATAAGCGAGAGTTTAGAAATATGGTCCTAAATCAAAGCCATATTCTGTTTTATGTATTCTTAATGAGGAGGACATACATCAGTGTGTAAAACCTCAGAGCTCCAATGAAAAGTAATTTTAAGACATCCACTTCTTAACGACTGGTTTTATTTATTGCAGTATTTATTTAATTTATGCAATTAATTGCTTTTTTATAGCTATCTCAGATCGTCGAAGAAACAAAAAAAACGGCCGGAGAATTTTAAAATGAACCCCAGCGTGTGCTTTGAGAGGAGGAAGCGGACCTTGAAGCTGCTCTGCTCGGTGGCGCTGCTCGCGCTGTCGCTGTCCGGGGACGCGGACGGGAGGAAGGTGCGCGGCAGCCGCGCGCAGCCGCGTCGCGCACAGCCGCCTGCCCAGTTCAGGGAGAGGAGTGAAGCCACCGAGAGCTTTCCGCTGGATTTCACGGCGGTGGAAGGCAACATGGACAACTTCATGACCCAAGTGAAGAACCTGGCGCAGTCCCTGTACCCTTGCTCGGCGCAGAAGCTCAATTATGATATGAAGCTGCATTTTTTGGAGAATGCGACAGTGACGTGCAACGACGGGACCCCGGCTGGGTAAGTGTCCCATTACGGGCGGGATGAACCGCTGTTTCCCACAGGGCATCCGAAACACGCTGATCCCCGGTTTGTGGTAACTAAACAAATGACAGGCGACAAGACATTTCATCATTAAGCGCCTGCCGGAGATTGCACGGAGCGCAGTGAACTACCACATAACCACTGTCCTTCCCTCAAGTTCCAGAAAGAAACTATCGTCATATATCATGTGGTTTCCAGATTCTCAAGATGTATCCATCCCTTCTCACAGAAGTGGTTACTTTTTTTTATAGTAAACACTGCGCATTTCCCCCCGCTGTTGTTTTTGTCGGCGCTGTTGCGAAATGAGCAGAGCGCAGTTTCATTCCCTTCTTGGCTGATATGAGCCGGAGCCGCATCCCAAGGCTGCGGTAACGACCTGCCAGTTCGCTGTATTTAATTACCCAAAATAATTATACCAAATAAGTCAATAATCCCGACATCTGTTTAACCCGCGTGTTTGGATTTAACCCGTAAGTGTTCATTCGTAAAACAGAAGGATTGCGCTTGTCCTTCAGTCACATATAATGTTGGATTGATTGGAGGCAGTTGGTGATGCGCGAAGACAGTGAATAAAGTTCACGAAATATAGAGAAATATGGTAGTAAAACGAAGCTAAGGGGAAAACTCAAATTTGACGCAAATTAGCGTTAAAGTGCTATTGGTGTTTGGGATGCTGGATCCTGGGTTGTTTTTTGCGTCAGGTCGTGTTTTTACCCGAGTCGCGTTATTGAAGCCGGATAGACATCCGTATTTCTGTTTCTACTGAATGACAGATTACTGGCATTTGTGGCCTGGTTTTACTTTCCGGAGATATTCAAATGGGGTTTCGGATATCTTCCAGCAGCTGTCTATTCAGACAAAGCGGTAAAAGCACGTTAAGGTCTAACTTACCTCCTTGCCAGCTGGCAGCCACTGACAAACAGATCACATATTAAAGCTTTAACTGTCTTTATTTATATTCTGTTTAAAATGGGTTGTTCGTAAGTGACGGCCCATTACGCACCAAGTCAGCATTGCAGCGAGGAGTCGGCCGGCAGCTATAAACTTCTGGCGCTTAGCGGATAATGACAAAACCGATGTGCAATGAAAGCAATAGTTGAATGCGGGAGTAAAAGGGTGTGTGCGTGTGCGCGTTAATAACTGCCCAGTGAGGTACTCATTGTCTGCACATGAAGACTTCGGCTGAGGGTTCTTCTGCATCCCAGTCTCCCTGGTCTGTATTCCTGGTTCTGGCTGATTAACAAAATGATGAGGATCGAATGCCGGATGGCAAATCTGCCTTCAGCTTCATGTATAAATGAGTAAAAACTTTGGGGAATGGGGTGTAGGTTTGAATCCAGAACCCACTGCATTCATGGGTTTGAGTTTGGGTGAGTAGCTCACCACCTATTACCTCCGCTGAGGCTTACAAACACCATCCACCACCAGCCCAAGGGTCACCAACACCACGCACTGCCAGCACTGAGGGTCACCAACACCACGCACTGCCAGCACTGAGGGTCACCAACACCACGCACTGCCAGCACTGAGGGTCACCAACACCACGCACTG